AAAATTTCATATGCCCAACAGCTAGCCTTTGCTTTGCCTATTCACTTTTTGATAGTTTGCAGCTCGGTAATGGAAGTAGTTCATGTCCTATACTTTAGGCTGCAGACCAGCTCATTATTCTTGTCTGCCTAGCCTACTGAGGCTACCACTAAAATAATATGTACTTGCTTACAAAAAAGCATAATGGAAGGACACTTAAGGTTTCTGCCATATAACTGTGCCTTTTGCTCCCTATACTTACCTGGAACATGGGACTTAAAGTGCCTAAACTCAAAGGATAGAAGGCTGGGTATACTGAGTTAACACCCCCTCAAAAGAACTTTAATGTTACCAACCCCCCACAACCAAAACTTCTTTTTTTCTTGAGAAAATGAACACTCTAAAAGCCAAATAGTAGAGCCCCCCCCCAACACACCTTTTTTTTCCGCTGGGGACATTAACCAAAAATGTGGGGTTTGAAGTTTATTGTCATTAGGAGGGGAAATTACTGCTCAAGTGAGGTATCTTTGCTGCAGTTCAGCTTATATACAAAGAATGCACAAAGCCCTGTTTCCCAGAGAACAGGAGGAACCCAGTGACAGGAGGTGCTTTTTTTACTCACAGCTCCAAAGCATCAGGCCATACTACCTTTCACTAGATTTTTTGGGGGGGAGACTCACTCTAAGCATTTTTCCAGACTTTGTCCTTTCTACTTTCTCTTTCTTCTTGTCTGCTGTCTTCTGTCTCCCTTCACAAAGCAGCCTTTTCAAAGTAATAGGCGGCAGTGTCTTTTTGACAACATGTGCTTTGTCTAGGCTTTTGTATGGGTGGTAGCATGACCCTGCCTTTAGGCTGGAGGCCATTCTGCACACTTTCTGGGTATAACTGGAGCCCATCCTCTGCTATTTCACGCAGGCACACCACATTTCCTCCAAAAACACTGTTTCTTAACAGTGACGCTGCTAAATGACCATCATTTTAAAACTGGTCCAAAATACAGGAGAATGTTGGAATTTTTTGGCAAAAAACTGTCAGCACAATTCTGAGGTTTCAAGAAATTTTCACAATTGATCATAAAAATCTTGGGGGAAAAATTAATTGGTACTTTGAAAATTGGAGTTTTGTTAAATCAACCCTATTCTGCTGCTGGGCTGCATCATGTTCTGTGCTCCTGTACCCTGCAGTATTAACTAGAGATGGGCCAGCAGTTTTGGTGAATAGTTTATTTGCTGAAAAACACAGCTGCAGAGCATCTGAAGATGTCTACAACTTTAGATCAAATGCAATAAATTTGGCTGAATAAAAAATATAAAGATAAAATATGGAAATCTCAACACCCTCTTCCTGTTTAAAAAATGGACCATTTTCATTTTTGGTGGTGATCACAAGGAGGGTGAGATCACATTTACAGAGCACTATATTCTGCTTTGACCTTATTACCAGGAATTGGACTACGATCTCAGGATGTAAGAGATCCAAATTTAAGCCTTTTTTCTGAACTGGACAGGAAGGGAATTTGAAACCAGGTCTCTGGCACCCCAGGAGAAAGTCCTAGATTGCCTGTTAAAGAGAGGGAAACAGCAGCATTACCTGCACCTCCTTGCTGTTTTTTGATAGGATCTCAGTCCCTTTGTGTACCTACCTCTACATTTTAGTTAAAAATCTCCTAGAAATGAAACAAAACAATTCCTTTCTTACTGAACAAAACAGCTTGTTGAACCAAAAACAAGTTATCTTAATTCACCAATTCTCTAAGAACAACTTAAGTCAACCCAAAAAGATTTTTTTCAATTTTTTCAGTTTGACTAGCAAATTTCACAGAGCACTAGGGTTCATTGACAGTCTGGCTGGGCCAGCTCTAACTTCTTGCTAAGACATCTCCAGTCTCTCTCGTGCACTGCCTGACCTATCAGTGCACAGCAGGCTTGGACCTCAATGCACACCAGTACACACCGAATTCTCTGCTAGCATACATGGATGAAACTCCATTGAAGTCAGTAGAGATATGCTCATTTTCAAAGCAGGAAACATGATTCTCTTTTGAACTAATCACCACATGGCTGGAAATTTCAAGACTTATTTTGAAATAAAAAGCCAGAATTTTAAAAAATTGTCTGATGAAGGGGAAAAAATGTTTTGAGCCATTTCCCCCCCCCCTAGTATTTTAACTTGCAAGCAGTTTTGTACAAATGTGAAGATTAATTAGGATGGAATGTAAGATCTTGTTTATGTGAACATATTTGTTGAAAGTTTATGAGGGCTGAATATTGCAGTAATTGATGCACGCTCGTGTTTGAAATTATTGTGTATGCCATCTGGCTCAGTACTTTTGCTCTGTAACTACACTGTTATATTATACCATAGGTGTATCATTTTATGTATAATGTTGGAAAAAGCATACAATATTTTTGAAATCATAACAATTATGGAAAGCAAAATCTATCCTGAGGAATTCAGCACCCTCACAGAGAGATTAATCTGCTTTTTTTTGTTCAAGAGCATTCGAGAAGCAGTCAGAGAAAAGAGGGATTTTTTTTAATTGTGAAAAATTGATACTTTTTTGGTTTCCTTCCTTCCTTTTTTTTTTTTTTTTTTTACTATTTTATCTGTTCTAGAGCTGGTTGAAAATTAAGATACCTTTTCATAAATTGCCTAATGTTTTCATGTAGATCAGGAAACATGGAAAATGTCAACTGAGCAGTGATTCTCAACTAGGGTGCCATGGCACACTAGAGTGCCAACACATCCTTTGAAGGGTACAAGGAGATAAGTGGGGTGTGAAGAGATGAGCAAATAAGCCAGGATCAGGCTTTTATCCCTGTCTGGATTATCCCCTGCCCCTATTGCCCAGCCCCCGTGTAAGGAGGTAACTGTGTAACGTATACATTTATTTTTGAAATTGGGTACCACAGAAATTATGGAGGGATGCCTAGAGTCCAGAGAGGTTGAGAACCACCGCTCTAGAAAATGGGTTTCTCAATGACGGTCACCATTTCTCATCCAACAGTTTATTTGTATAATATTTTTCCTTTTCTCTGACCAACCCTGTAATGAGTTAAATGTTCTGTGCAAAATTTCCAGGTACAGAATCATAGAAAATGAGGATTGGAAAGCACCTCACAAGGACATCTAGTCCAACCCCCTGCTCAAAGCAAGACCATTTTCAACTATATCGTCCCAGCCAAGGCTTTGTCTAGCTGGGTCTTAAAAACCTAGAACCCCCCCTCCAAAAAAAACCCAACAACCAAAAAACAACAAACTGAACAAAAAAACTCAACAAAACCCTGGGAAATTTGTTGAAAATGTCTAGCAATTCAACCAGACCCATTTCCCCCCTTGTTTCTGGATTTCCCTTCTTACTTACATTGGTAGAAAGCAAAGAATGCCGCCCTTGGCTCACAATGCTCCACGGTCAGTTTGAAAGGCACTTCATCCACTCCCGTATCCTCTCCACTCCACTCCTGCAGTTGCACTCCACTCTAGAAGCTTGATTATTGTCTCACTTAAAAGCTGTTTCCCCACATATGCTAAGGGGAAAGTTATATGGTTTTACAGACTTGACCAGACCCGTTGCACCATGTGCTGATGTAGCAATCCACTTCTTAGTCTGACAAAGACCCACCATACCTCTGGGCCACTCCTTATCTTGTTGCTCACCAACAGGTTTCTGCAGTCTGTTCAGGGATGCACTGTGGAAACTAGTGTCATTTCACTGCTATTCACTGCTTCTTCACCTGGGCTCTTCCTTGTCGGCATTCATAAACTCTGTTTTTGTATTGCCCTTTCTCTCTTCCTTCTGCCCAGCAGTAACTCATACTTTTGCTACTTTCTTCTTTTAGGTCTAATGCTCATAATAATATTTTATTTACGATTTCAGAAGTTACTACAAAAATAACAGTGCTCAAGAGGTACATTATTATAACTGACCTATCTCATAAATATAACATATAGCAAACCTTGTCAGCAATGTTTAAGGTAATGAACTCATAAAGGATAGAAAACAACTATCTTCATCACTAACTATATATTAATCCTGAAAGTTCACTGAAAGTGTGCATCTGTGCGTGTGTGTATGAAACTCGCAGGACAAAAACATTTACAAGATGGAGTTTAAAATCTCTCATCCATGCTCACTCTAACCCCTATGGAAAGAGTCCCTCCAGTGATTTTTTGACAGACCAAAACTTTCTTATAGACCATTTTTTGCATAATAAAAAAAAAATGCCTTCACTTGACAAGTATAGCTTTGCAAGGTACAGAACTGAGGTGGGAAAGCATAAAGCAGTAAACTCCATTAGAAGAACAGCTGGATGGAATAGCAGGTTCCCTCCATTTTAAGGAAAATGCAATTTCACCAAAATCAAAACACTGACTTTGCCAAAAATATTCTGTTCTCCTGTATGGGCTCAGCTCACTCAGGAATCTTTGCTTCCCATGATGCATTTCAGTCTCCCCCTCTAATTAAATTGATGGGATGCATTATGGAGTGTTGTGACCATGGTACATTTTGAGATGAAACCAAATTTTGAAATACTGGAATTTCCTATAGGTTGGAAAATTCCAGTTTTTGATCAGTGAAATAAGAAGTATCTTATCTAAGTATCTAAGTATCTAAGATATAATAATTTCTTTCTTGTCTTGGTGTCAATGGAAAACTTAGTATAGACATAGATTTGGATAGACAGAAGCTACCTTTTTTCCATAAGTGGGTGTGTAATTGCTTTTCTACTTGTAGGTGAGATAGACTACAATTACAATAGAAGAAAAACTCTCTGTGACAGATTACCAAATTACCTGCAACCTTTAGTCTCTGGAGAGCTGGGCCTCAAGCAGTGATAGACCTAGTAAGAGCAGATTTTAAATCAGAAACATCTTCCCCTCCTGGTACTCTGGGATCTCTATAGCTCTGTAAAGCTCAAGAGTATATCTTACCAGTATTCTACTTTTTCCTGTTTCAGGTGAAACCTATGTTGTAATACTAAGGAGGAGTGGGGGGATATGGTATGGCTTAGAGGATGTAACAGACCCCTGCAAAGTTTAAATGGCTCTGGATGGCCTGTTTTAGTAGGACAGCCTCCACAGATTCACCTATGGTCCTCAGCCGTGTCAGAAATCCTCACAATGCTGTATGCTGCAGCCCTTCCCACTGCTGGCCCCACATGTGGCATGCCTCCTACTCAAGAGCTTGCAAGGATGTCTGTGAAGGGAAGCCTAATTAGCCATCTCCTGAAGGGCCTGCACTGGGAACCCTTTCACTGGCCAGGTGGAACTTTCATAGACCCTTTATTTCACTCAAGGGGGTATAATGGCAGAGAGGTGAGTTTGTGACCTGCTCTGGACTGAGGCCCAAAACAGCACACTTGCTGAACTGGTATGAGGTCATTCTGCCCAAAGGCTGTGTGTGTTGCTAGCCATCCCCCTGTCTTGTGTGCTGTCAGCTCCTGGAATTCATGTGTGCTTTAGCCATGCTAGCTTTGGGTACTCAGGGCGCTGGAGGACCTTATGATGTTTCAGTCCCTCCCTACAACTGAGAGCAAGTTAGGTTTTGTCCATTGCCTATATCTAATTCAATCTGTCTTTCTTAACTCATAGGTAAGAAGTCTTTGCTGCAAGAAAACTTCTATCCTGGGTTTGTACAGTGCCTGGCACAATCTGCTTCTGTCTTGGTTGAGGTTCCTCTATGTTACTGCAATAGAAATAAGGCTGGTAATGTGTTGTAGGCTTCTCTCAAACATGATGTCACCCATAAAAGCTTTAACTTTCTCATTTTAAGGCCAAGATCACCCTGGTTATCCATCTTATTGTGTAAAGAACTGCTAAACCAAATGGAAGCGCATTGCATAGACACTGCATTCAAGTGCCTTTTTCCACCCCTGTCCTGCCAACAGTTTCTCATAAAATTGGGGATTAACCCTATGAGGACCTTCATGACTTGTCAGAACAACATCAAGGAGGCATTTTTATAAGGACCAGAAAGGTTTGAATTGTTTGCAGAAGTATTTCTGACAGCACCTGAAGAAACCAGACTTCATGATCAGCAAGTACTGATCATTTTGCAGACTACTGAATCAAATTCTAATATTATAAAAGCCTTTGTCTGTCTGTCTGTCTGTCTGTCCACAGAGCTTTATTTGCACTCTGACTGCCTGACTGAAACAGCCAATCCTACCCAGCTCCCTGCAGGTGGCAATGGTGGAGCAGGAGTGGGGGCAAGGACCCCCCCACCCTTGCTCCTTGGAGGTGGTGGCGGTGGTGATGCGGGGGGAGTGGGTTCGGGACACCCAAGAAGCAGGAACAAAGGGGGAACAGGCCCAGATGGGGAGCATGGGGCTCCGCCCTCTCCCCTCCCCCCGCTCCTTCCCCCATCATTCTTGACAGGCAATTGGCTAGTTTTATAAATATAAAACAAAAAGCCTTTCTGAATGTCTATGTTTTTATACTTTATTTTCATTGTGTGTGTGTAAGTGCTTTATTGAGTGGAGTTGGCTTTATAAGCTGAATACATACTTAGCTGCTTTGAATAAAAGCTGTAACATTTAGCTTTAGTCTTGCTGGTCATTCATCACTTTTGGACTGTCAAAGGACAAATGAGCCTATATAAATATTTGTCCAGTCATATTTTTACCTATGTTGCTAAATGCCATCTGTTTGGAATGCAGGGTGCTTGAACACCTGAAGAACTGTTCTTTGAAAGAAACTTTGACAAGGATGGAAGATTATTCTAGAAAAAATAATCCCTTACAGCCAGGGACTTAAAGAGTTCCAGTCTGCTTATCTGAACAAAAAGATCAAGTAACTGTTTCCAAAGATAAGTACCATCATGGGGTGAAAATAGCAGGTATTAAAGGGTTCATTAATCTGGTAGAGAAAGGTTTAACAAAACCAATGGCTAGAAGCCATTATCTTCTCATTTTCAGTTAGAAATAAGGCATAAGTTTTTAACACTGAGGGCTATTAACTACTGAAGGAAACTACCAGGAGAGCTTATAGCGTCACTATCTTTTGAAGTTTTCAGGCATAAACTGCCTAGATATTCTTTACTGAAACACATTTTTTAGCTCAGTGTGGTCATACCTGCATGAAGTCCCACAGCTTATGCTATTGTTGGAGTTCAGACTAAGTGATCAAATGGTTTCTTCTGGTGTTGCAGACCCACAAATCTTCTATAAAAAAAAAAGTTCCAAGGCTTGGACTTGAGAGATCACAGGTCAATTCCAAACTGCCACAGAATCCCTGTTTAAACTGGGGCAAATCACATAAGCTCTCTGTGCTGCAATCCCCTCTATGCAAAGTGGAAATGAAAAAACTTCCTTGGTCTGTCTAGTCTATTTAGATCATTAATCCTTTGTGGGCAGATATCGTCTACTACCCTCTTTCAGAGGAATCATATAGGGCGCTTGTACATATGATGATCATCACCATGTACATATAACAAACATTTCTTTTGTGTGGCTTAATAGTATCACACATTACACATGCATGAGGTTTGGGGTTTTAAATGAGTTTAGTTTGCAACATTGCTATGTGTTATGTTGCAGCCTTTAATCCAGGGGCAGGCAATTTTTTGGGGCAGGGGCCTGCTTACCGAGTTTCAGCAATCTGTCGAGGGCTGCATGGGTAAACCCACCCCTTGACAGGTGCCCTGCCCCATGGTTACCATCTTGTGACCAGAAGTCCCAGCCCCTAGCCCCTGACCTTTTCCACCTGAAGTCCCTCCCTTTGCCCCCAGAAGTACTCCTTTCAGCAAGGGGTTTTGCCATCTTGGAACCAGAAAAAATACTAAATTATATTCTAAAAAGCAAACTTCTACAGCATTCATTAATTTGATTTAAAAAAAGACTTTTGTCCTGATTTACATGTGTTTGTGTAGTGTGCACAGAGGTGATTCACAATAGCTTAAAATGAAGTCTGACTCTTGTATACCGGGGGGAGTGCGTACAGGTTTGTGGGGGGGCTGTGTGTGGGTGGAGGGTGGCTGGGCTGTGTGAGGGGGTGTGGGAGTGGGGGGTCTGCATGTATGGCAGCATGAGGGGTGTGTGGGTGCATGTGTATGAAGGTCTGGGAGTGTGGGACTCACCCTATGAACACACACACAAACTGCCTCTGCCTGCACACACACACACGTACCAGCATGGCCCCATGCTCCCCAGTCCAGCCACGCAGCCAGGAGCCACATGGTGTGGGAACAGATCGGGGGCAGAAAGAGAGTGAAATGGCTGGGGTGTGGTGAGACTGGGCTGCTCAGTCCTGCTGAGGGCTCCCCCTGGGTCCTGCTGCCCCTGGCTCCTGTCAGTTTTGACAGGCAGCCAGGAGCAAATAAATATTAATTTACGAATTTTTTGTAGGGGCCCCATGGGCCACATAGAATTGCCTAGCAGGCCAGATGTGGCCTGCAAGTCATATTTTGTCTGCCCCTTATTTAATCTGACAGCTTGACCACTGGACACAGGAGAAGTAGGCAGGCTCCACTGAAAAAAAAGATTGGGCTCCTTGATGCCTCTCCCTTTAGCACTTGCCTGGCAGCTGCAGACACCTGCTGAAGGCAGAAGTAGCAAGGGGCCCAATCCTTTTTTTTTCTGGTGAAGCCTGCCCAGGGTGTGAGCTGCTGGTAGCCTGAGTAGCAGCTGAGCTGGGGCGCGGTTTCAGTCCTTCCCTCTGATGTGGTGGTGCCCCCCTGGGGATGTCCTGGTGGGCTGCTGCAGCTCAGAGGCAGCACCTGGCCAGATCCAATTCTCCCGCACACCCACTGCGGCTTTCAGCATCTTGTGCACTGTCCCAGCCACCATCCCACTGCCTGGGACCACCCAGGAATGGGCTGACATGCCCCTGGGGCAGCACAGAGAGGTGGCAGGAGGGCAGCTGGGGGCACTGGTGACTGGACAAGGCAGTAGGGATGGTGCATGGGGTGCTGGAAGCCTTGGCAGGCTCAGGGAAGCTTAGACTTAGTGGACTTCCAGTGCCCTGTGGACTGTCCCTGCTGCCTCCTCCTGCCACACCCCTGCACTGGCCCAGGGGCAAGCCAGCCCATTCCTGGGTAGTCCCAGTCAGTGAGAAGGTTGCAGGGACAGTGTGCAGGAAGCCCCACTGGGCTTGGGGAAGAGTTGGATCTGGCCAGGTGCTGCCTCCAAGCTCCAGCAACACCCAGCTTGCTAGCAGCCCACCCAGGCAGCCCTGGGGGGCACTACTGCCATGGAGGGAAGGACCAGGGTCCCCCAAAGCTCAGGGGTTGCTTGACCCACTGGCAGCTTGCCTCCTGGCTGTGGGCAGGCTCTGCCAGCAGTGGGGGGTGGGGGGCCAGGAAATCAGGCCCCTTGTCATAACAGTGACAGAAGCCCCTAAATTGAAAGCCCACTGTTTCAATTTAGGGGGCATAGAATAAAACCCTGAGGACTAAATCCCCATCATGTGTACAAGTGCCCATATTGCCTGGCTCAAAGGGTCCAGGATTCTGTTTTTTTCTAGGTACTACAAATACTCCTCCTCCTATTAGAAGCACCTTAATTTTCCAGGCCTGCCAGGATTATCACACATTTAACAGGGGTTTCATTTCTTGGGCTTCAACA